CCAGGAGCTGGATGGGATCAGGACGGAAGCGGAGAATAGGAAGACTGAAGAGCAAATCCGAGAGGAGTTTGCCGACGACATACTGCCCGCCCTCGAGGAGAACAACAAAGAGTTCTTCAAAAAGGGTTGGGATGAGGCGCTCCGAGCCGCCGACGTGCTTCCAGACTTCCCACTCTTCCAGATGCACAACTACGTGCCATCGGTGGAGATGGCACAGGCCGAGGCCGAGGTTGCTACTGAGGGTGCAGCCCTAATGCCGATGCAAATTTTGAAAGATCCACTTGAGGTGGTAATTCTCATCCCATCCGATGAGGCCCTGTCGGAGCCAGCCCCGATTCCAACATTTCTCAAACCTTGTCTGCTGCTGATTCTGCTCCAACCCTACCTACTCCCGAAGCTGCTCACCCCTTCTGCATTGATTCTCCTTGTAGTGACATGTTGGAGATGCCCGGGGCCAAATGAAACTTCTTTTTTTCTTTTTCGAACTGTACTTTTTTTTTTTGAACGTTGTAGCCCTCGAGGACGCAAAGACCATTTTTTTGAAATGAATAGCCTGTTTTTTATTTTTTGAGTACTTGCATTGTCTATTGAAACCATTTCATTATATATATTTCATCATCTTTTTTACACTGGTGCGGTAATAATCAGTGATAACGTAATATCTCCATGACTCGGATACCCGGGGAGCAATCTAGCTAATCCGACCGATTGGTTCAGCTTCATCATTTCTGTGTCGTATCCCCCCTAGGGGTAGTGTCCTCCCCAGGGGTGTATTCCTCGGACTGCCTTGATGGCCTTGCCCTTCCAAGAAGCTTGCTCCTATTTTTCCTTCGAAGGCAGGAGCCCTTGAACTCTGCCTCTAGGGCCTTACCCTTTCAGGAGGCTTGCTCTTGGCTTTCCTTTGAAGTCAGGAGTCCTTGAACTCTGCCTCCAGGGCCTTACCCTTTCAGGAGGCTTGCTCCTAGTTTTCCTTCAGAGACAGGAGTCCTTGAACTCTGCCTCCAGGGCTTTACCCTTTCAGGAGGCTTGCTCCTGTTTTTCTTTCGGAGGCAGGAGTCCTTGAACTCTGCCTCCAAGGTCTTGCCCTTTTGATACTGCCATTAATCAGTTCTGAGAGAAAGAATACTAAAAAATAGTACTTTTTCAGATTTATCACATTCCAAGGCCGTATTTCAGGTTTTCCTCTCATATCTTCTAATCTATATGATCCGAAGCCCCCTACTGACACCACTTTGTAAGGTCCTTCCCAATTAGGTCTCATCTTCCCATCTGTTGCGTCTTGGGTACTGGCAGTCACCTTTCTGAGGACTAGGTCGCCGACTTGAAATTCTCGGGTCTTGACTTTTTTGTTGTGAAGTCTGGAAATCTTCTCCGGATACTTGGTCATTCTCAAGGAGGTCATTTCCCTTCTTTCCTCTGCCAGATCCAAATCCAGACCAAGTTGTTGGTCATTGCCACCTATGTCGAAGGCTTGAGTCCTTATGGTGGACAGTCCTACTTCCAGAGGTATGACTGCCTCCATCCCATAAGCCAGGGAGTAGGGGGTCTTCCCTGTCGAGATCCGAGGGGTGGTCCTGTATACCCACAGAATGTTCAACAGTTCATCCGCCCATCTTTTCTTTGCTTTTTTCAATCTCTTCTTGATCCCATTGACGATTGTTTTGTTGAAAGATTCTGCATGCCCATTGGCTTGGGGGTATGCAGGGGTAGAATAGAAATTACAGGTCCCGAGTTGCTCGCAAAAGGATTTGAAGCGTCCGCCTGCGAATTGAGTCCCATTATCTGATACAAGCGCTCGGGGAACCCCAAATCTAACGATTATGTTTTCCCAAACAAATTTTTTAGCGTCTATATCGTGGATGTGAGTCAATGGCTCTGCTTTAACCCACTTGGTGAACTAATCTGTTGCTACAATCAGGAACCTCTTATGCCTAGGAGCCTTAGGCAAGGGTCCAACCAAGTCAAGCCCCCACTGGGCGAATGGCCAATGGCTGGCTAATGGATGCAAATTCCCTGCAGGCTGTTTGATTGCCGGGGAAAACCTTTGACATTGGTCACAATTTTGGACATATGCTTGCGTGTCTGTCTGCATCCATGGCCACCAATATCCCTGAGACATGATGCGGTGAGCCATGGATCGCCCTCCAGAGTGCCCCCCACATATTCTTCGTGTACTTTGTAGAGGAGGTCTTCCACCTTATCCTCCTGGACGCATAGTAGGTAAGGCCCTGAGAACGACCTTCGGTACAGCTTCGGATCCAGGGAGATCCAAAATCTCGGGGCTTTGAGTTTTATCTTCCTGGTTTCTTTCAAATACTCGGGGAGATCCCCTATTACTAGGAACCTGAGAAAATGATCTGTCCAACTAGACTGCCTCCGTTCTCCCTGGACGGCCATCGCCTCAGGAGCTTTATCTATACTAAAAGTGGGAAGATACTCTATGGTGATTCTGCGCGGTCGAGAGGAATCCAGTGCTGAGGCTAGGCAAGTAAGAGCGGTCGAGATAAATTCTGTGTCTTCAGGCACAGACAATAACTAATATATATATATATATATATATATATATATATATATATATATATATATATATTTGCCAATGTCCACCGTACAATATTTCTTTATTCTTCACCAACATTACTTTCAAAATCTAGCTTTGTGGTGTAGGCATCCCCCTCTTGAATTTTTTACCATCTCAAGGCAGTTTTTGAAACTTCATTTCTCTTTTTTATTTTTCATTTTGTTTTGGGGTGAGGGGAGGAGAAGGGGTTGAAATTCGCAATCACTGGCAAATGGAAGTGAGCCACCATTATCACTAGGTAATTCCCTCATTTTAAATTTAGTGTTTGTAAAAAACTCTTTCAATATTTTCTTATTGAACAATTTTCACATACATACACAAAGTGTGAATTTAAATCATGCTCCCGTATAAATAACGTCAAATTAGGAAATACCTTGAAAGCTATAGCAAAGGCATAATAAAGTTAAAAAGCCACGATAAAATTGTAGTTGATTCCTCTTTTTCCTAGTCAAAGCATAGCATTTCTTACGGTCTTCCTCTTTTGTTGCTTAGGGAATCTAGGTACCTGGCGGGGTAAGCATTCTTTGTTCTTTTCTCTGGCATAGTATTGTATTTGTTAGAATTTGGCTCAAATTCTCTAATTATCGTGAACTAGAGTTTGTTGGGTAATCAATGTAAGAATTCTAATAAATCACATATAGGTTTATTAGTGACCTAATCAAATAGAAAATAAATTGGAAGAATTTTAATATATTATGAATAACTATATTAGACATATGATATGAAACATAAAATATCAAATTGTATCTAAATAGGTTTGAGTTACAATATTTTATCCTTATAAATAATGTTAAGTATTATGTAATCAGTTATCAGATAACTAATTTTTTAGTGCAAAATACATCAATGTAAGTTTTTGGTCTTTGGATATAGATACGATGTACTAAGGTAGATATGTTGTATCGAACCACGTTATATATGTCATATTTTTATTGTGTTCCTATCTTTTAATTTTTATCTTCTAACAAGTATTATTTGTGCTAATTATCCGTTGTGCAAAAAAAAATAAAATATATTAAGTATAACGGTTACACCATGTCATCACACTTATATAGTATAATCGTCCAATGATAGAATAACAAGTGGACAAATAGATCCCATATAATTAAATACCTACTCATCCATGTCATGCAATAACTACCTCATACGGGATCCATTTGTCCACTTGTTATTTTGTCATTGAATAATTATACCATGTCAGCATAATAATATGTAACCGTTACTCTCAATATTTTCTCTATTATGAGACAAAGATAAACTCTCATTCAAATTTTTGTCTCAGAGTATGTCTTTCTAAGTATACTTCTTTAAGTTATGCTCGGCACATGCTTCGCTGATCTAGATTGTTGATCCACCAAGCCGACCACTTCCCATTGATTTATGTCGTGGTAGGGTCTTATCCAATTTGTTCGACATAAGTCAAATTTTTTTGGCTAATCTACAATTTACTTGGTTGAATTTTTGTTTGTTTGTGTTGTTTGGAAATGGTATTATCATTTTAAACCGTTCTTTTCAATACATGTCAATTGCCACATGACTTGGCCCAATTGTCAAATCATGGTCAGAGTTATTCACAACCCCTAACTTGCCCACAAAGCATGTTATTTCGTGGTACCACTAGGGGAAATTCTATGTTTCCACTAATTCTCTTCATTTGATGACTTTTATTAATCCAAGCAACAAAATTGGTGTAACCATACATCCAATAAAAAAACATAACAAAATAAATAAAATGTGACCCACTTTCTACCGCAGCAGAGTTAATTATATATTATATAACTAGGTGATTATAAATTTTAGCGAAATTTACTTACAGACTTGCTTGCTTATTATTAGATAGTTACATTACGTAACCCTACTGAGTTAATATTTTTTCCTGAGTCCAGAAATGTAAGGAGGGTTTAAGTTTTGGGCGGGAAATTTTTTTTTTTTCCTTTTAATGCAGAATTGTGTCATTAGATAAGTGAGATACAATTAAATGAAATCTAGACCATTAAAATACAAATGGATTAAATACAGACTACTCGTGTTTTTATAAACTAAATAATTCAAATTCACTTCTATCTCATTATTATAAACATCTTGTCACAACCTTAAGTCAAACTTGTTACACAAAAAATAGAATCAAATAATACTCTTATTAATATCATTTGTATGGATTAGAAGAGAACCAATTATCCAATCAGATCCTTTATCTATACTCAAATCAAACAAGCCCTTAATTTTTCACCTAAACTAAAATAGCCAAATCTTTTTTCAGTGGACCCGGCTAAAGTATTGGGTAGCATGTCAGTGTCACCGTGCAGCAAGTCGTGATTTCCATAAACACCTTTTCCAGTTGAACAAAGAAAATTGGTCATCAGCCTAGTTCGTTCCTTCAACTAGAATCCTGGATACAGACAGGTCTCCAGCAAGCAAAATCATCCTTGGTAATCTGCATCACTTGATTTTCTCATATACTTTTACAAAATATATATACATATATCAACGATTCAACATTAATCGTATTATTGGAGCTTACTGTTTAAACAAAACACTTGACATACAACATCTACTCAACAAACATAACATACATGCAGATTTGCAGTATAAAACTATAAATACAGCAGCAAATGCAGTGCTCCGGCAGTGACCTGTCGCTTGTAATTGTATTTGATTATCATTAAGCGCTAGTCTTAAATATGATGGTGAAAGTAGAGATTTCAGTTCCTATTGCTCCTTTGGCCTGGCAAGCCAAAGAGAACTAAGGGCTCGAAGCCGTGAGAAATAGTCATTTATTGCAAGAAGGGCACGGCCTGATTGTCTGGTCGTCAATATACGGTGCATTTGTTGTAGAGTCTGCTGTCGCAAATTATCAGCCTGGTAATTGCCAAAAAACAGACGGAACCCAATCATTCAAACATCTTGCCTTTTTCATTTCACTAGGAAAAGGAAAAAAGTATGCTACCCCATCATGACAAAATTGTGACATGATTAGACGCTTGATAAGAAAATAAAATTATTATACTGTTTCATTAAGTGGACGGCATTAAAGCAAACAAACTCGGATCAAAGCTTTTTCAAGCTATAACCTTAGAAAGGAGAAATTCTAGAGCAAATGCTTTTGAGCAATATAAAGGCACATGGGGACGCAGTGGCACATTATTAATTTCAATGGAATCAAGTGAATGGACTACAGGAATGTGGTATTTGTATTCCCGCATTCAACAGTGGAATCATAAAAGGGTAAAAAAAAGGGTACAAGTCAATGGAAAGAAATACCTGGTGGAGAAAACCTTCAAGAGTACCCAACTTTCCCATGGCCATGGCCATCTGGCCCATGTAATTTGCCACATTTCCAGAAGACTGAGACGGACCAAGAGAGCCATTGGCTAACGTCTCAGCCAAGGATTGTTGCAACGCTTCCATCCCCTGAGAGAGTGCATCTTCTGCCTGTTGTGATGATTGCTGCAGGTTGTAGATGCCTGACAATTGTTGCTCAGTTAAAGGCTCCAGCTGATTCGCCAGAAGCTGCAATGATGGCAATTCAATTCCAGATAACAGAAACAAGTTTGATGATAAAACAAAAGTATAAAAGCCACTGCAATGTTTGAAACATGTGAACATTTGACATCACAAGTTATGCACCCATAAATCATATCAAATGTTGCATTTTCACAGATTAATTCAACGTGTACTCTGTCAAGATCATGGTTCAAAGTCATGGTATCGGTCAACGAATCAAAGGACAATAAGACACATTGGTCGCGGTTCGGTTGACACGCTTAAAATGCTAGATAGAGGGCCCAAAAGAAATTTAAAAGATCATGAAAAATTCTAAAAAATGTAAGCATCATATCGTTAAAATGCATTATTTAACAAATTAAATATAGTAAAAAAAAATTTATAATGGCGCTACTAAAAATATTTATCATCATCTATGCTATATTCAGTATTTATGTAATTATTTAAACCATCCATTATATACTACTACAAAAAACTTAACAGAAAAAAATATAAATTAGAATAAAAAGAAAAACCGATCAGACCAGTGGTATTTTTTTATTTGTTCTGGCTATAATAGCCAGTGGGACTGGGAAATAAAAAAGGATAAAAACCGACTCGTTCAAGTTGATACCAAGTTGCGCCGATTCAGGACTGATTTGAAGAGAACTCAAGTTTATCCATGTCGTGTATCAGCATTGTATCGGTAGTAACCGTGTTGTGGCCAAGATGCTTTGTGAAGAAAAAACAGCGGGACATACAAGTGAATGGTTTGAAAGTCATCAGAATAAGTAGTTTTCTGCTTCAGCAATACTACGACAGCTATTTTGGGCATTTAGTCCATGTCAACACATACGGAAAATATCGGAGGCATCTGTTAACAACACAATGTTGGCATTCATATTATGTAGTAACTTCAAAATACAATATGAGCCTATAAAACTTAAGGAAAAGAAGGCACAAATAATGCCAAACATCCTAACACTACATGCTTAAGAAATAGCTCTAATCCAACTCAAAACAAATTGGCAATGAGTGGAGAGGCCCACAAGATTTATGATTTATGTACGAATTTGGAAGGTACTATTATATATATGTATGGGCGACGAAGGACAAACTCTAATAGGATATGCTACAACTAATTTCATGGCATCTGCATCACTGAATGAATGAAAATTAGTACACGAAAATAGAGAATCACTAAAACAGGACTCTCACCTTGAGAAGTTCAGAAGAGCGGAAGCCTCCAATCCACATAAAACACCGCTCTGCAGGTGTTTTCCACATTCCTGACAAGATGTGGAAGACATCAGCCTTGGCAGCAGTTCCTTTCAGCCTGAAAACGTTGTCAAAATGTGCTGTCACATTGTCCACAACAGTGCGAAGTTCAGTGTCACTAGCGTGGGCATTGACCGCTGCCCTCAACTCATTTATATGCTTGTTGTGCTCTTCCCACCACCGAGCATATTCAACGTCAAATGCCAAAGCCCCTACAGATTTGCGCAGTCAACAAGATCATCTTTCCCAATAGAACACCACACTAGAGAAAATGTTTTCATGTGGTCAATATTTCCAAGACATCAAGAGAATAAAAAACATGAAGTAAGACAAACATATGCTATCCACTATGCTAGTGACAAGATGCACAGTAAAGTGAACGATGAAAGATTCACAGTAAAGTTTAACAAACAGAAACCCCCACTGAATAAACAAGACAACTAAGGTTCAACTATGTGCTCAAACCTGATCCCCACCTAGCTACTACCAACACTAGGTTTTACAATAGAACAAACTGCTACAGAAGTGATACAAAGCAATGGTTTAGAAAGTCTAGCAGCCTTCATTAGGTAATTATTATGAAGGAAAGCCGGTTAATAAAATAAAAGCATGAATGATTACTTCCGCCTACGTGAAGTGATGAAAGATTTCAAATTTTTTTTTTTGTTAAAATATTCCTACTAAGAAAGCGTGTAAAGTTCACAATTTATTTAATTACATGTCTTTTTCCTCATAAAAATAAGTTGGACTTTGTTCAACTAAAAAAAAAAGGGTACTTATACAATACAATTGTGCATGTTCTACTCAGCTTTACCGAAAAAAGCCTTGGGATGGTTAGCTTATCTTGTGTTAGATTTGTTTCATTGATAGGTTGTCCGTGTATGAAAATTAACAGATCAAACCTCTTCATTTTATATGATTTGTTTCTTCTCTGTGTCTGATGAAGAAGTAATATTTAATAATTCCACAACAGCCTCACTATGGTTCATCATCTTTAATGATCTTGCAGCATATCAACGCAACAATTAAACAATAGCAAAACCACGAAGCTTCCACAGGCTCACAGCATCTTTTACTCACAAATTTTGTCATTGAAATTTATTCATGTCATCTAATCAATCCATATATCTTAGGGCAACATTTTTAGTAAGTATAGTGCTTATGTCCCAGATGTAGATCTGCAGCTTTCTTTATCAGATCTCAAACAATGAAGTGGACAATTATGAAAGCTCTAGAACTACAAATCCAACCACCAACTTTGAGAGTAAATATCCAAGAAAAAAACTTGTATGAGGAAGTATGCATACCATTCCCACTCGTTGTGTGGGATTGATCTGAGCTTGAAATAAATATGCCCTACAGCAAAATAACGAATAAACAAAAGGAGTTCAGAACATGCAATCGATAAATATATATTGGTACATCACATGTATGCAGGAATCAGACCTGCTGACGTGCTCTCTGGAGCTCCTGCTCAAGTTGCGTTAGCTTAAGCCGACTATTCTCCAGCTGTTGTACATAGGCCTATACAGTGAAGAGAAGAGAATTGACTTAAATGTTTACATGTACACTATTCTATCATACAAAAGCAGATATTTAGGAATATATAGTCTGTCCGTCAGATAAAATTACATCTTGTGCAATATGACAGAAAAAGCATGATATTTGTAGGGAAAACTAATCATGGAACATAAGAGGACCTACTTTTTTTCTCAATCGGCTTTTTCTGGCAGCTTCACGATTTTGAGCAAGCCGTCGGGAAGTCTAACAAACAAATACACCAGTAACCAAAAAAATTAGCAAGACATTACTAGACCAGCTCAGCTGCTCAAAAAATTGCAATTTGCCTGAACTGTAACCTTCGGATCCAGGGATTTATCTTTTGATTTGTCACTAGAATCAGAGGCCGTAATAGCAGTTAATTGTCCCCTTTCAAACTGCACATGGAATTGTTGAAACTTCAATTCACAACTAAAAATTACCAGCAACCATTCTGCTAAACAATAAAGTGGAATTTCTTTCGAGCTCAATGTTACAATTATATGACATGTGATTGGTATTAGAGCAACAGAGATGCAATGTGAAAATTCATAGATCATCATAATAATGTTTTGAAAAAAACTAAGAGGCTGCAAGATTTTCTGATACATCACCCTTTGATTTTTATCATCTGCCTCTACATCTGTTGAAGTATCTACCCGTGGACTGGCATCTGTCACGTTGGATTCTCCCCAATTCTCACGATAACCACCAGATACAGAAGCCAGATTTGGTTGTGGTCCCTTTTGTAACTGTAACAGCAGAGAACCCCCCATAGCAGCAGACAAATTTGTATTGGAGGACACAAGAGACTGAATAACCAATGGACAGAGAGAACGGTCAAAAAGTGATGATAACTCCAAAATTAAAAAATATCGGACAACAATCGTAGAAAAACACATCACAGTCACCTTATTAAATGAGCCAAATTGGAGATCAGGGCCGACTGCTGGGCTGGTTAAATTGGTTTGATGGAATACTGAGTCTAAGACACATAATCAACCAAATGTAAAAATACGAATCATACATGGCTATAAACCAAAAGGAGGAGAGAGAGAGAGAGAGAGAGAAATCAACAGAAATTACTCTCCTCCTCTCTCTTTCTCTTATTAAAAAAATGTCATAAGAAATAGAAACACCATAAAAAAAACCAAGGAAAAGGACCAATAAAATATAAACAGTAGTAGGGCGAATAACTTGATGATAATAAGGGCGTACAACACACATGCAAGTACATTTAATGGGTTACGCACCATCAGTAATTTCAGACAAAGTCAAATAATCCAGTTATGTAGACAGATAACATATATTTGAGGCCATTATGCAAGTCATATTTCTATGAGGGTGGAAACCAGGTATTAAATTTGGCTAATATCATCAGAATAAAAAATTATTCAAGATGCTAAGTTTTATGTTTACAGCTAAGCTGTAGTCCTGCTAAAGAGAGTATTTAAGGTTTCTCTTTCTAGCTCATATCCAGCCAAGATTCAGCCCAATGGCAGTCTGAACATTTACAGAATATTATCTATGCGAGATAGGAAGTGTTTGAGTATAAGGTGTATCAAGAACCAGGATTAGAGCCCTAAAACCTTCCTCTTCTTTTGTCATTTGATTAAAGGCATGGATAAGGAGATGGGTGTAATTTCTCCCCAAAGCACTAATTACTCTACCTTTGGTTTCAAGTTCACTAACAATCAATAGTGTCATGTGTGAAGACTCTGAAGACCTAAGGCCCGGGGTTCCTGATGTAATCCTGCAAAACCATTAGGTACTTTGGGATACGGGGACTTAGCAGTTACAGAAATTCAAACTCTAAAATATAAGGGTATTGCAGTGAAATTGGATGTCGTTGTCGATTTCTTTTGAACAACCACCAATATAATCAGTCCATATTAATGCACTTTACACAAATTCATTGCCTATGTGATGCAAAAACACCATGATATGACTATTACCCGCAGCTTTGATTCCAATAAGTAGAACTCATGAGCACTGAGGCTCTTGCTTTAAATTAATGAAATACACAATATGGATAATATGTTATCTGCATGAATTCAAAGCAACCTAATGTAAAGAACAATAAACTTAAATTATTCAGCAAGCAACCTAAGTAAAGAACAACAAACTTAAATCAAAGTCAGGCACAAATTGAGAGACCTCAGAGGTGATGGAGCATCAAATATGAAGGCCAACATTAAAGTTTACATTTGAACAAAATTAAGATTACTAATACATACTTCCGCAATCATTAGCAGCATTCCCTCCACGAAATCCAAGAGATTGCTCAAGTGCCACAAAATCCAAAACTCGAGAAGAATGCATAGTATTCCCCTCTGTGCCACTGAAACCCGCAACTTATTAAAAACAATACGTTACATAATTAGACAAACACAACTCAGGAAGCCAAACTTCTATTACTTTATATTCCCTAACAAAGAAAAGAGAGTGCATTAACAAAACTCCTGGCTACCATAGATGCTCTAATCACAGAGTACAGTGGTGCCCGTTCCCAAAGTTAGGTCTAAATCTAAACCAGCAGTGGTATATATTTTTTATTTCTATGACACGCGACATTTCTTTCTAGAACCCATAATAAAATTCCAACATACAAGAGGACCTTGGTACCAAAATTCATGATCATACATATAAATCAAGACTTAACAATGCTGAAACAACATTTCAACATTGGTTAAATTTGTCCATAAGACACAAATATAAGAGAAAAATACATTTTCTCCAAATAGTATGTGCAATGAAGAGAGTAATAGGACACCATGCATGCAACACACACACATGCATAAGAACCAGCAGTCCACATGTGTGCACAGACATTAAAATAATGATACAGCAAAAGAAAAATAGGATCATTACTTCAGTTTTGCATTACAACCACTTTAATTGGGTAACAGATGATTCAGTTAATGCTCAATGTGCACAACAGCAGACTAGAATCGTTACACTAACATAAAAAGGATTTCATGGAATGAACAAGGGTTATAAAAGGCATAAATCTATCATGTTTTGATCAATGCCTAAAGTGTGCATCAACACAACAAACAGGGTACGACAACTGTCCCATGCAGGATTTCACAAGAATGATCCTGATTTTTCTCAAATATCAATAGCAGCGCACATACCTTTTACCTCATTTATCACCAACACTTAAACAGAAACTTTTTATCTGCACCAACTTCACACTATTCATATGATTTTAATTCCAGAAAAAGATACACAACAATGGAATCTGCCCAACCATATAACTGATATTAAGGTTCCATCTCGAAAAGCAAATTAATAAATCTTAAAATTTCAACTGAAAGCTATTTCCCATCAATACATCCACCACATGGTAAATATTTAAGTAAACTTACTAAAAAATTCTTGAAGTCAGAGCTATTCAAGCAAAATTCATATCAGAGCAATCCAAAGAAAATAACGCTGAGTGACCAACTATAATTCACAGAGAAGCAAATATCAGAGGCAGAGTTCAGATACTTTTGGTAAATAGAAATTTTACATGGAATTGGAAGGGGGTAACTGAGAAGAAAAACTCGGCATGCTCGCTGTGACACTGAAATTATCTTCTGCACCAAGCTTCACTATTCCTCTACCCATAAATCACCATCATCGCATCACCACCTTACCTTAAACCCCTTGAACGAAACCAATAACACAAACACTTTATAGATGTCAAACACAACCACCAACTGATTTAGAACCAAACTGTCCTCACTTCATGACCACCAAATCCACAAAATTTATCTGAGAAATGAAAACTTTGAGCAAGAGAGAAAAGAGAAACTGCAAACCCAACTACAACATAAATCTAGCAAACAAAGCAGCCCTTTAAAAAAATGAATTAAATCACAAAAATAACATAGCCGTCCGTACAATTACAACAAAACCCCATAAGCCCTTTGAGTGCTCCAAGCACTTAATCCACCAGAACCAATTGAATTTTCTTCAAAAACCCATTAAAATACTAAATTTGAAGCAAAACAATCCCTAGCTCCTTATGATCACTCTGGAAAATACTAACTTTGCAACAATCAACAATACCCAGAAGCTCGAACTTACAAACAACCTAAGAAAAGAAAACCATGAATTTGAAGCTTTAGAATATCGAAATTGAAGTCTACTTTTGACTTGTGGGTGGTTAAGCAGCTCGGTCATCGTAATAATTTAATATATAATTTTCTCTCTCCAGACTCTCCCTTTGTACAAAACTTCAACAGCCCCTCAAGAAAAACAAAAAATACGTAAGATACCCACATCAAAATTTGAGCTTTCTTTTTTTAAACGCAAGAGATAGAGAGAGGGAGAGAAGGAAGGAGAGAGAGAGAGAGAGAGAGAGAGAGAGAGAGAGAGAGACGTAACGGTCCAGATCAGTCCAAGTCCAATTTCCAAGCTAGTGCCTATGTCATTTTCCTCCGGAGACTTTTCCATTTTCCAAACGCTCCACTTTTGTATGCTACCTTATTTTTTCGCATTTCGTAGTTTGGTCTTACTTTGGTAGCAGAATTTTGGGATTCCTCCTACAAAGTTTCTACTTACACAAGTTAGAACTCCTCGACTATGATAACGTTACGGTGCCTCTAATAGAAAATTTGTTATCACGTCTAAATTAATTAAGAATTGTATATCTGTTTTTTGAAATATTTATAGACATAGATTGTGAAAAAATAAAATAAATATTTTTTTTTATTCATCTAGTTTTCTGCTGTTAGTGCTCGATATGTACTGAATCTAATACGATACAAATACAGGTCTACTCGACAATTATCACCCCTAAAATGCTCATTCACTCCGAACATTTTCAAAACCTGACTTATTAGGAAAATTGAGGAATGCTTCTAACATTTTTCGAAACCTTTTGGTCCCTTTGTGACTATCAAAGACTACGGCCCTGTCGCCAATGCATCGAAATAAAACTGTTTACCCTTTTAATAGCGCAACAATTGCAAGAGGGCCACTGACAAAAACACCCATTATAACAATGGCTCTAAATTTTGTGTTTTAACCACCGAATAGGGTGCTCCAGTAGTGGTATCGGTCTTATATTTTACTTAGAGGTTATAGTTCGAGTATTAGAGTCTATATTAGAATTTGATGATTGACCACTATATTAATTAGGTTTGGTCGCGAGAAGTGTTTCAGACGCGAACAGTTGTCTTATAATCCTATCAGTGAGCCTAACAGAATGATCGTTGGACGCTCTTCCTTGTCCCCACCCTTTTTTGAACCAGCAAAAAAAAAAGATTAAGTGGTTAAGACCAGAGTTTACGATACCCAAATACACTTTTTGATTACGTATCCTTACATTTTAATCAATAAAAATATATTATATAAGAAATTTTTTTATTAATAATTAGAGATTATTCAAATTAAAATTATGATCCATTTTTTTTTTTCACGATAACTTTGCGATATGGCAAAATTCTCTGCTCGTAATGATGTCAGGGATGAGAATATTACATTATCACCGTTACATGGTGTTACCATTTAATTAAAAATTACAAATGAACAAAGTGAATCCCACTAATTCTATGTATTGATAAGCGGATGTAATGGTTATTGATAATTATGAAAAGAGTGATGTTCACTTTATTTATTTATAATTTTTTAATTGAATTATACCACCTCATAACAGTAATCACATGATGTCAGAGTTGCATCGAATATTTACTCATCAGAGAGAGGGTTATGTCTTCGGTAATGAAAGTCGTCGAAATAATTGAATTTTATAGTAGTGGTGGAGTAAGACCAGCTTTCCTTCTGGCGTGCTGCCTGACGAGAAGCTTGCAGAAGTTTTAAATGACTTCGATGCCCTTTAATCAAAAGTCAGAAAGAATTGCACAGACAGGGAAAAAGAGGACTATTGTTAGCCCCTTCATGGTTTTGCATGACCACAACATGCAAAGGCAGCTCTTAAAAGACTTGAGTGCATGTTGGTCCACTGGTCGATGGTCGGAATTCTGGGTTCTGGATAATGCATGTTTGCATAGCCGATGTGCCATTTGGTAAGCCAGTTGTGCAAAAAAGCTAAGGAATGTATAGCGGTTATAGTTTCATTAATGTTATTACAATTCCTCAGTATCTTGATGTCTAATGCTGTCCCTTGAGTTTTTCTTCCTAAAGCATGTATAAAAAGGTGCTCTTTGGGGGCACTTGGCTTACAACATTTATGGTCCTTAGCCTTAGCATGCCAAAACAATCACAATGGTTGACAAACCCTGTCACGGGTGAGGCAAGACACTCAATAGGAGACTGGAGAAAATGTGGGGGTCGAAACATTAGTGAGACTCGTCGATAGTGGAAGCCTCATGTATGGCTAAAGAAAGCAACACATTGTAAGCACAATTAGGCACATTGAGGCGAAACAAAACATGGTCGTGTGGGCTGAGCAAGGCGTCTTGCATACTTTGAAGACTAAACTATGGGGTGGACATGACTTGGAAAATTGGCACAGACATGGCAACATCTTTTAGCGGACAAGAATGACATTGGTTGACTTTTTAAGTGATTATGGGCAACTCGTAGGTAACTCATGAGACAATTTACAACTACTCCACCGATGTGAGGACATTTTTGATTATTTTAGATGGCTTGGTGGTTTTTGGAAAATCATCTTAGACCATTTGTGGCTTCCTAAGAGTGGGGGGGACTCAACTGACTTTCATAGTTGGTCGAGGATTGTTGGAGCGTGTTTGGTTAGTAGGATAAAGAGAATTAAAACATGTTGGATTGAACACAATTGAACTGGGTAGTTAAACCGTTTTTAGAAAACAAAAAAGGGGGTCATTTGGGAGTCGGTACACCAAATTAAACATAATTATAAAAAAGGTACACAAAAGAAAATATTTTGAAAAAAAGTACACAGGTGAGATACAAAGACGTAAATGTCTATTTTGTAAATTTTTTTTCCTAAAACTGTAACAAGATATTTATCTTAAGCGCTGAAATTTAGGGTCATTTAATTCAAAATCTATTATCTTTAATGCACCTTGATTCATGTATATTTTGTTAAAAAAAGTGGTTTTGTTTTTAAATTATATTTATACATTAAATATTTACTACTACTTATAAGAGAATTTTAATATTCTGTTTATTTTAGGAAATATCACTTATTTAAATTTCAAAATTTGTTAATATTCGAACTTCATAATAGTGTAACAAACACTGTAACAAAACAGTGTTTAGTAGTTTTGTGCATGGTAAAAAATTCAAAACGGAGATTGATTATTTTAAATGAAATTATATGAAAAAATATATTTGACAAAATGTAATAGTACATTATTTTGTGTAAATGTTTTGTTATACTATTATTATTACATTGTTATTGTTACACTGTTATGAAGTTCAAATATTAATATAATTTGAAAACAAAAACACATTCAAAAAAAAAAATGCATGAATCAAGGTGCATTAAATATAATTTAAAAACAAAATCACTTTCCAAAAAAAATATGCATGAATCATGGGAGGACATACAAATACGAAATATTAAAGTTTTTCCATAAAATTAGGAGATATTTAATACACCACTTTCAAAAACAATTACGCATGGATCAAGGGAGAACAAAAATGACACAAAAAATCTGAAAATTTCAAATAATGTATTTGGACACAAATAAATATAAAAAATAAGAATTTTTTTACTCTACATTTTTTTCTGTATATTTTTTTACAATTAACTTCAATTTGACGTACCACCTTCTAATTTCCTCCCAAAATAATGTTGAGATACGTTATTTGGGCCTATCCAAGGCCCAATTTAAGTAGTGACATTTATCTTTTGTAGGTGGGTTTTCCCTAACCTATCTAGAATGTGGGTCAAATTTGGGGCCAATAAAATTTCTTTTAGAAAGACTATTGTGCCCCTTTCTTTTAAAAAATGTGGATTGTCTAAGGAATCTTCTAAGACACATATAAATTAAATGAATTTGTCGAACGCGGGATTGATTAGTAATGTACCCCTATTCTAATCCAATTTGTATTGGATTGATTGGATTAGAAAGGATGAGAAATTTGTCACGCCCCAAATCTAAAAACCTTGTGATTTAAACAACAATCATTGAACTTAACACTGCCTATGGGGCATTCTAAACATAAATATCCATTAACTCAAGAGAATCAAAATTCATCATCATCTCACTAAATAAAACCCAAGACAACAGTTTATAACTCAAGCTTATATCCAAACCTCAATTCAAAAACAAAGATCTACCATCTAATTAAATAATAAATATTCATAAAATTATTCCATCTTCAAAAAGGAAACAAGATAAACTATATACGTAATCCTTGATAATATTGATCAAAACAAAGGTAAGAGAAAAAGAGAAAAGAATAAAACATTTGTTAGAACATATTATGGGATACACAGTGGAAGCCTTTGTATATTAGAACAACATAAAATAAAGTGAGAATGACTAAATGCTCCCTAATAAAACTAATAATAAGTTAACCTTGCTAACATCCTCCCTCAAACTCATGATGCGACACAAAAAAATCAAGAGTTTGCGAAGTAAAAATAGAAAACATGCAATGGTATGAGATTTCATAAAGAAATCCGCTAACTGTAGAGTTGAAGGTAGAAAATGAAGATAGATGGTTCCCACCTAAAGATGATGACACACAAAATAACAATTAATCTCAATTTACTTTGTGCACTCATGAAAGACTAAGTTATGAGCAATTTGAATAGCACTAGAATTGTCATAATACATAGGAGTCGGTGTAGATGACATGATGCCAAGATTAGCAAGAAGTCATCATAGTCAAATTATCTCAGCAGCAGTAGACATCATAGCACGATATTCAGTTTCAGCAAATGAACAAGAAATAACATTTTGTTTCATTCTGTTCTAAGAAGTAAGAAAATCACCGAGAGAAAGGCAGAAGCCAGTGGTAGACTTACGGTCATAAAATCACTAGCCCAATCAGCATCAAAATAAGCCCCGAGTTCTGATGAGTGCGCGAAAATGCATTCTAAACACCCTATTATTAGATTAAAATGCTAAAATGTGAATAGAAATAATTAGATATAATTTATATTAGTGAATTTAATATCTATTCACACTGAGATATATTTAAGCATGATTTTATAATATTTTAAATCTTAAATATTGCATTATTAGTTGGTGATAGATAATTTACAATTGAGTTTTACACTTAATATTTTTGAAACTTTATTATTCGGCTTTTATATATGTTTTTATTTTGATGGTAGCAGCATGGAGTAAAAAAGTTGAAGCTGATGCAGCTGTCATGTAGGACCCAACACTCAACAT